CTGCGTTCACCAGATATCAACACAATTTCGATCCGCTCCTCACGTGTTAACCTCTTCGACATGTCAATGGCTGTGAACAAAGAGAAACTTGTAAATAACTCATGAAATCATTAGGTTACGTTGAAACCAAGCACACCATTGTTTTTCTTGTGACATTATGTACATATATGTACTGTGTATTTACTGTAGTGTCTGGGTTTCCTGAGGAGGAGGAGCCGGAGAAGGTGGCTGTGATTTCTGGCATTTTGGCGCCCCCTGGTGGTCGGAGCTGCCCTAGTGTTTCACAGATCGCTCCGCTCCTTCTCGTCTTCCTCTCGCATCTGCAGCGAGCGATAACAAGTTTAGACGTCCCTGGTGACGCCGGTCTCCTCTTCCCGCCCAGTGCACAAAAGCCCTCATCTCAGTGACCCACCAAAGCCTTAGCCCATGTAAAATCCCGGAAAGGGGGAGGAGACTAGGAAGAAGTGGAGGGAGGCGTACAGCACAGCTGCAGCTAACAGGTTAAAGGAAGAGCACAGCAAGCTTCTGCTTTCCCACCACTTTCTTTCCATTTCTTGTCGCTGGATCTTCAGGGAAAACAGCCACTGAGGTGAGATATTTTTGTGTGAGTGTGTGCTGTTCCTCACCATATTTTAGCTCGAGTGTTTTTTTCTTCTTCTTTCTTTTACTACGACGTAAAGACGAGGAAGGAGATGCTCGCGACCTTTACTTTAATAAGCTGTAGGTGTTTTTCTCTTTAATAAGCTCTCATGGGAACATGAGAGGGAACTTTAATGACGTCTAAAGGGGCAAAAAAAAAAAAAAGCTTAATGCTGACATTTAGTGGCAGTTAGCTGCCAGTCTTGGGCTGACACGGGGCACACCCACTCCTTTTATTTTTATGATTTAGGTCTGAAATACTGTGCATCAGGGACAAAAGGGCCAGGACTTTGAACCCAACATTGTCAGGATTGTTTTGGACCTCTGGTCTGTGTCTGGATATTATCCGTGAAGCTTTGTGTCGGGATGCCACATAAGGCACATTTACACACAACCTCGAGTCGCTCGCCTTGAACGCATGACCGATTGAAGTTAAAAATTCACGTTTGTGTTATTGTCGCTCTCTGCGCACCCTCCTCCACGCCTGCTGGTTTCTATTACACCCACCCCTCCCCTTTTTTTCTCTTCTTCCCTTTATCCTTTCAGTTTCCCATAGAAACCGTGCGATTGCGTCGGGAAGTGTGACCTTATTTTTCTTCCTCCGCCCAGAAAAGCTCTGCACCATGTCTGCTCCTGGTAAGTGCCTAGATTTCACATTTATGCTGACTTTTGTTTTCATTTTTTTCTTTGGACGAAAATATGAAGGCGTAAGAGTGTTTTAAAAACGTGAGCAGTGTGGCGTACTTTAATAGTTTTAACACTTTGCTTCCATTACGTCACGCTTTGTAAAATGCTAGAAGTTTTCTCACACTTGCCCCGTTAGCTTTCCACTAAACCCAACAGCTTGAATAATGAGCACACTGTCCAGCCCACACAGTAGACTCCTGAAGGTGGGGGATGTTTTTTATTTTTTCTTCCCCAAGAAATTCCAGGAATACTTTTTTGAAAACACGTCAGAGTCTTTGGCCCAGCAGACTTCTCTCACTGAGTGGAAAAGGTGAAAGGTGCTATTGTTTGTGTATGCCAGGGCAGTGGATGCACCCACACTTTTTTCTGTTTTTTGTTTAATGTGAAGTAAAGAGAGGGATGTTGAGCAAAGGCAGACCTCTAGCTTCACACCGTCTAACTTCCTTTTTTAACTTTCATTACACACAAATGGCACAAGAGGTTGTTTTCTGTCTTAATTGTAGTCCACAAGGCTTTATTACATTCATCAGCCTTTGCCAGCAGACTCGTGACTAAATGGGCTTTTCCAGTCACCCGGTCTTGTTCGTTGTGGTTGTAACGACTCAAAAGAAAGTAGTGCTCCACTCATGAAAGTAAGTCTTTTTGGAATTTTTTGGCATTCAGACAACAATTCTAATGCCGAGACAGGAGGGGGGGAAACAACACAAAACGTTGTCAGCTTTGTATTCATCCTTACTGCTGAGTGCTAATATCAAGTACAAACTGATTGAAAACATCATTTTATAGTTTACATGTATTCCTCACTGGTGACTGAGCCTGACCTGCACATAGGTGGTAAAGCAGTGAGGGGAGCATAAATAGAGCAGGGACAGAATCTGCATCGGTGATGGCGTCACTTCGCTAGAAGGATCCTCCCGGGATCCAACCAGAGATCTTTTGCTTGTTAGGTGAATATGTAAACCAATACTAGTCATAATATTAAGTAAACATGGGGGGAGAATCCTTCCTCTTTCCCAGGCAGAGTACTAGCTGTCATGTCCACCTCGTTTTTGAGTGTCTTTCTCTGGACAGGGTTTAATTAATAATTTAATGGAGGAATAATTTCAGGAATGCTTTTCTGAGTAGTTTCTCGCTTCTGGTTGTCCATCCCTGCCCCCGCCCAGTGCTTGTAGTGCTGTGGAGACACTCCGAGGGAGGATCTGCTTAGCTGAGCTCATGGTGCATTTTCACCCTTCCATTGGAGTCCATGCTCACTCATAAGAGGAAGTAAAATTTTTCTAGATGAGACTGTGGAAAGATCATCAGGCACTCCTGCAGCTGCCTCCCAATTTTTATTGTCCGTGTGTGTGGTGTGTGTGGGGGGGGGGGGGGGGGACCACAGGCCAGTGACCTTTTAGAAAAGTTAGACTCACATGAGTCTAACTTTTAGACTCATGTGAGTCTAAAAGGTAATTGCACGATGTGAATAAAAACCAGTTTGGCCAGTCTTGAGACCAAAATCCCTTATTGACATGCCATTCCATTTAAATGTGTATAGACCTTTTTGTTTAGTTTTTTTTTTTCCATTACCAGTATACTCACTGCGATTCACATCAAAAAGCACATCTGTAAAGAACATGCAGTGCAGAAAAGCAGCTCAGATATAACATTCAGAGAGAAACCCAACGGGCATGTGGACGCTCTCGTCAGCAAAAACAAGCTGATCTAAATTTGATCTTTCTAAATTCTTTCTTAATTATGTCCTGACTGCTGTTAGAAAACGGCACACATACTTTCACATGACGGTCTGTCAGCAGGTGTGACTCAGGAGGCTTGTCACGTCATTTGTGTTAAGGCAGTGACTTTATGGTTTATGCTTCCTGTGTGGTAAAGTGAGCCATTAAGTAACCAATAATTTCAACTCTCAAGATCAGATTCTAATGTGTTGCTAAGTCTGCTTCACATGCCTCCACACGTCTTTTATTAATATATGGGATGTTAATGTTTATTATTAGTTAAATGTGTAGCTGTCGTGTTAGGGGGAAAAAAAACTAGAGCACCATGCAGTGTTTCAATAATTTTCTCATATTAAAAATGTTAATTTTTACTGCTCTGTTTACTAAATCGCAAAATCAACAAGTTTCTGCAGCTTTAATCTCTTTTGTTCGTAACAGTGGTGAGTTTCACCATTAGGTTTTTATTATCATCGCCATTTATCATCATCATTTGATAATGTCTCTGATTGGTGTAGGAGACACTCACAGGGAGGCAGAAAGCCCGGCTTAATAGAGGAAGTTAATAACTATTATCGTGATATTGGGGTTTCAGGTCAGGCCGGCTTACACACAGTTCTCAGGGCTAAAGGAAACCGTCCTCAGTACAAGTACAAACGACCACCACGATGCATTAGACTTGCACTATTAAAATTTTCTATATTTTCTGCCTCTCCACCACACCAGATTTCTTTTTTTTTTTAATCTTGTCTGTTAAAATCATAGCAGCAGTCCTATGATAGTGAAACTATTAACATTTTTTTAAACCTTTATTCCTGGAAGCAGGATAAGGGAAGGTGGTTAATAAAATTCGGCATTGATTTTCCATTATCTCAGACATCTCACATTTTACATTTTACAGCGGGGCTTAAATGCGGTGTTCTAAATGAGGTCTGTACTATGGAACGAGATATGCGTGCGTGTGTGCACGACTGTAGTAGTGAGGGGAAATGTGTCTTTTTACACACCAAAGACTGATCGGTCAACGTTGTTGTCGTTATGAAGTGAGAATGATCACATTTTTGTATTTTAAACAAGGACATTACAAAACCATTCAACTCAGTTTAGACGTTATTGGCATAACATATGATCATAAGGACAGCTGTGTTCCAGTGGACCTTGCAGTTTTTCTGATAACAGCGTTTTACACATTCATAAAAGTAAGCAATCCCCAGTTAGTCATTGTTATGAATCTTGTGAAAGTGAGTCCCATAGCACACAACAGAGGTGCAACTGGCCCTGTGTAGGGTCTTATGGCCCCTTGTGGCGTTCTCCAGGGCAGCCACAGAGTAGGCTGGCTGCTAGTCTCTTAAGACTAGTGTGCACTTATGGTTCTGTTGATTTAACGCAACAGCTGCTTTAAATAAGATGCAAACACTCTAAGAGAGAAAGTTACATATCCCTGTGCTGACGGCGTCCGCTCTTCCTATCTGAAATCCTCACTTAATGTAAGAATCTTCAGTTCCTGTCCAAAAAATCCCCAAATCTTAGTTTTCACATCACATATTCAGTTTTTCCACCATGGAAACACTGACAATTGGTTTCCAACATATCATGGATCCAGTTTTTCCAGTATAGGTAGGTCATTACTGTTGTGTTGCAATCACCGGCCAATTAGCTCTGCCCTGTCTACTAAAAAAAAAAAAGAAAAAAAAGGGCGGATGATTCACAGCGTGCGCACACACGCACTCACATTCAGCAGAGTAGCTGCTTCTAGCGAGACACTCGGCGGTCACTGCTCTCAGCTTCTGTCTCTGCTCTGACTGGAAGGTAAGAACCTGGAGACGACCAGCCGTGGTCAACACAGCTGGTCTATAATCCTAAACAGCAGCTTCAGGCTTTTGACTCTTATATCATTTTTATGTGTGTATATTTATATTATCATTCATACTCAGAGTTGATGGTGTCTTTTAGTTTTTTTTGTTCCCTATCTTACATATTACGGCTTTATTTATTTTCCTTGTATTCTCTGGTTGTTTTATGGTAAAATTGAGCTCTACTTTCTAAAGTTTGACTGTCATAGTTTGTACAGCAACAACTGAGCTCATGAATTCAAATTCAGTCAAATCAGACTGTCGGTATATCTAAACAGGTTTTGATTGTGTCTATTTTTTTTCCCCCTTCCAGTTTACCCAGGCGCTCCAAACCAGCCACCCTATCCCATGTCTCAACCCGGCGGAGCACCGTATCCAGTTCCTCCTGGATATGGAGATCCCAGTCAAGCCCCTGCACCGGGCTTCAACATGGGCTATTCAGGACAATCTGCGGTCATGTACCAGCCAGCACCCACAGGGCCAGCTCCAGGCCCTGAATACGGTGGCCCACCAGGGGGGATTTCACCAGCTCCTGGAGGTCCAGCAGTCCCCGTTGGTGTCCCACCTGGACTCGAGTACCTCACACAGGTAGGGCAGAGAAAGGTTAAACCAGTGCAGTTTTTTGTTGTTTTGTTTTATATGCTGTCCTGTTCAGCAGCTTTTGGAGTCACAATTATGATCTGAATGCACTTTTGTGCCAAACATATTTTGCTTTTCCAAGATGAGCTCTGAAAATTCACTGTAGGCTCCACTTGTTCACGTCTTTCTTTTATCTATCTAGTCATTCGTTCCTATTAGTGTTATATCAGGCATTACATTGTATGTTTAGTATTACAATATCCAAGCTGACAGGCAGATTAAAAAAAAGAAAAGTCAGTGCAGTCAGGTGATTTTGAGAGCTACGATTGGTTCCAGTGTCTTCTTAAATGTCACAATTTTTTTTTTTTTTTTTTTTTTTTTTTTTTTTGTCACGAACTCTTAAGTAAACTTTCTAACAATGACCGATGACTCATTTAATCCTTCCATTTTACTTGGAATTTGTATGAACTTGAAAAATTGCTGGCCATGTGCGTAACTCGACACAGATCCTGGATCTGTTGCATGCCAAGTAGTAAGAGAAAAGGTCACATGTTTAAGACTGTAGTGGGTAAAAGTAGTGTTTTATAGTTCTGTTGGCTCACCATTGAAATACTTGCAGTTTGCTGCACTTTTTGGTGATCATTAATCTCAACTAGGATTTGTGACACTAAAGTCAGTTTCCTTTTTAAAACAATATGTGAGGTCATACGTGCTTTTAATTGTTTTTAGAAGGAAGAGACTTTCAGATTGCAGGATGTGCCACAGAGTTGCCTTTTTCAGTTTGCTTTCTCTCCTTCGGTTTTAGATTGACCAGATCCTGATCCATCAGAAAGTCGAACTTCTGGAAGGTGAGGCGTGCATCTTGTACAACACAGAATATTTAATCCTTCAGCAGCTCATAAGCAGCTGTGTGTGAGGCTTAAAGCCTTTCAAGATGAAAACGAATGGAAGAAAAATTATATCTGCCCTTGAAATTCCTTACTTATTTTTACTTCATTGCTCACCGTTTTCCCTTCTCTTCTCCCAACCACGCCCAGCATTCATCGGTTTTGAGACAAACAACCAGTATGAAATCAAAAACAGTCTGGGTCAAAAGATCTACAAGGCCAAAGAGAAGAATGACTGCTGCACCAGGAACTGTTGCGGCTCTCTGCGCAGCTTCGACATGAAAATAAAGGACAACATGGACAGGGAGGTTATCCGTCTCATCAGGCCTTTCCGCTGCGTCTCCTGCTGGTGTCCCTGCTGCTTGCAAGAGGTCAGTCCACTCTAATGTTTCTGTGTTTGAGTAGAAGTGACTTGGCTAGTGTTGAAAGAGGTTAATGGAGTCATATTGCATTCATTTACCACACCTAGACCAATATTGTTCCCGGTCAAAAGCATTTTTGGTGTGAAATCTGAGTACTCATCCATCATATCTGGATTATTGTATTTGATCTAGATGTGCTGGTTAATCTTTAGCTATAGCAAATATCTGAAGAGACTGATAGGGAAGAATAAACTCTTTACTTTCTGTTAAGACATACCTAATCACTTTTTTTGATTAAATAAAGATAGATACAAAAGTTAGATCAGATAAAGGCAAATAAATCAAGACATTACAGTTTTATAAGGGGCAATGAATTGTTTTTAATGTAATGTAGAAATTAAAGGAAAAATCTGACGATTTTATGAGAAACGTGAGCTCTGTAGTTTATTTTGTGACACTTACACTTACAACAGCTCGTCTCCTGTTCAGGATTTACTTCTATTCTTCAGGAATGTTTTTAGTGGAGCTGCTATACAAGTCTGATTTATTCGCCTGCCTCTGTTAACCCTGCTGGATTTAAAGTAGTTTTTAGGGTGGGAAGTGGGCTAATTTACTGCTGATTGGTCCAGGTGACCCAAGAAACTGCTCTGAGTTATCAGTGTGCTCTGTCCTGAAACCAACTGCATGCAGATTAATGTTCTCTGCAATTTCCCTCAGAACATCTGGTATCAGATGGTTATTTACCGGTTATTTAACACATCCTCTACAGATGTTATGAATGGGGATGCAATACATAAAGGCTGATACTGTTTGGTACCATGCTGTAAATATGCTTATTAAAGGTCTTGTGGACAGACTCGCTTTGGCTTCTCTTGGAGATGATGTTAAAAGAACTTTGTTTTTAAGCACGAGCTCCCTGTTCTTGTGGCTCAGATCCAAATAACATGTAAAACAGCTACTTATCAACACGTCTCTAACACATTTACAGCTTAAATTTAAATCACAAGGTTCTGGCATGGCCGGGCTAGAGTCAGTATCAGCAGGAAAAGCCACGTCCATTATGTCGTCCTTCACATTTCAAAAGCTGTCCAGAGGGTCAGATCTGTGACTTTTTGCCAGGACAATTCTGGCCCCCAAGACATTTGAATTCACCATAGTCTAGTGCATGTTATAGTGCATGTAACAGACATTTGATACTGCTACTTACAGCCAGACTGGAAGAAAACCTTAGTCCTGTGTTTAAAGTAATAAATAATTGTTAGTCTTTTCTCATGTAAAATACAGAGGCCTATCAGTTCTTCGTTCTTCATAACAACCTGCAGCCTCACAGTGCCAGTGGCTCATACCTTTGCCTTTCCTCTCTTTGTCTTGAGTTACTGTTGCCGAGTGGTTGCTGCTGACCGGTGTTTCAGTGCCTTTGTGTGCCACTCTGCTCAGGCAGGGTTTTGTTAAGACCATGAATGGCCCTTTTGTCTGTCCAAACTATCTCCTAGACTCCCTGATCCTTTGCCATCCGTCCACTGAGACCTTTTTCTCTTTGCCCTTGTGTAATCACATCGTTAGCGGTCTGTCTACAGAACGTTCCCAATGGTACAAATCTAAGAAGATGTCCAATCATACTGCAGCTCTCGGTTTAGTGCCCAGACAGGAACCATGTGAGATGCATTCCCTTTGTTTACATGGTTTAACAATCAAGCAGTCAGCCTCACTTATCATTCCTGCTGTCCAGCGTGACACCGCGTGACGTTTTATTTATAGCTGTCAGTGTCCAGGAAAGAGAGCAAACCAAGCTCTGTGAAATAGCTTTCTAATTTTGTGCAGAGCTACTATGTGTCTAACTAACTATGTGACCAACAGATGGAGGTCCAGGCTCCACCGGGGACCACCATAGGGTACGTCAAACAGGACTGGCACCCTTTCCTGCCAAAGTTTTCCATCCAGGGAGCAAACAAGGAGACACTCATGAGACTGGAGGGGCCCTGCTTTGCCTGCAACTGCTGTGGAGATGTCAACTTTGAGGTGAGCTCAGAGGGTCGTTGTTTGTGGGCGAAACCGAACTCTGAGTAAATTTCATCCATCAGCCAACAGTGATTTGTTACAGATCCACTCAGATAATCTAAACAGGACTGGTAACAGTCACAGAAATGTTGATGATGATTTTAATTAAGTCAAAGGAATAGTTGATAGTTTTGGAAAACACTTTCTATTCACTTTATTGTAGAGTTTAGTGAAAAGGTTGATACGACTCTTATCTGTCCATAAAATATGAGGGTACACCTCGAAGTCAGGCTACTATCCAGCCTGTGCAATGAAAAAATTAAATCTTCCTATTAGTCTCACTTCCTGGTTTCCCACATGACTTCCTGCACACATTACTTGAGAATTGACATGATACAACTACTGGCTGCAAGTAGTTGTGATTAGACGCAGGGGAAATGCAATTGTAGGCAGGCTAAAGCAGCTTAAATGGCAGATCAGCTGACCTGATCTGCTAGGATTGCAGCAGAGCCTGCTTTTTGTCATCTGTTTGCACAAAGGTTGTGCTTGAGATTTTCTTTATTACGTAATCTTCTTGTGTCTTGGTGAGCTTGCTTGTCAGTATTTTCTCCCACTCGTCTAGTTACTTTTCCAACGCTAAAGAGCATTCATGGAAACACATTTTTCCCATTAGTTTGACACCAAGTGAATGATCCTTAGTGCTGCTGGTGGTCAGATTGTGTTACCTTTCATAAGGACCAAAAAAGCTGTTTTATCTCCTGATAAGTGCATGTTAAGCTTTTATTTCTCAGCAAGAAGGCAAGAAAATTTTAAACAGCAGCAAGGCTGATGTCGTTTCTATTGTTTAAAGAAAGCGTGTGCGACAACTTGTGACGAACGCTGGTATTGTTATTTTTTTTTTGCAGCTGAAGGGGAAAGATGGTGGCACACCCATTGGTCGCATCAGCAAGCAGTGGAGCGGCCTTTTGAAGGAAGTCTTCACTGACACAGATAATTTTGGCATCCAGTTCCCGCTGGACTTGGACGTGAAGATGAAAGCTGTGCTAATGGGCGCCTGCTTCCTCATCGTAAGTCCCCAATCTAGAAGAACATAGTTGATTTTGAAATATGTGGTGTGTTGTTGAATAAAATAATTCATTACTTTTAACGTTGCTTTGCAGGATTTCATGTTCTTTGAGAAAGTCGGAGAGGCCAACCAGCGCAGCAGTGTGTTTTCATAACAGAGGAAAGAGGAACGGTGGGGGGGGGGCGGCCTATGATGAAGGTGTTTTCCTGTTATGTAACATTTGTAATTGTTTTGTTCATTTGTTACCAGTCCCATAATCCATTTATATACACATACAACTCATTGTGAGTGAATAAACTCTTGATTAGATTTAAAACTCTGAATCTCTCCAAAGTCAAAGACTGAAATTTTCAGTGTTTCTGTACAGTCTGTAGATGTTTCACCTCTTTTTAAGCACATCACTGTATTCATAGCAAGCAATTTACACTACCAAATTTAAACTTGGAAACAGGTGTGGACACGCATCCTTTTGAATGTGTTTTGCTGCACTTGTGTTCACATTTCATTTCTTTCTTCTTTTCTGTCACCATCAGTTTGTCTTTTATTGTTAGTAATTTTATGTGCTTGCTCGAGCTTTATAAAGATATAACAGTATATCTAGTAGAAGTACAATACTGTTTTGTAGAAGATGTATTCATTGCTTTGCCTTCATTTATCCAGTTAAATGGTGGCAGAGTCGATCTGTCAGTCCATTGCTTTGGTATGATGATCATCATAATCTGTGTACAGATATTTTTTTTAATTTAAAAGTTGGCTTTTGTTTATTACTTTGGTGTATGCTCTACCAAACCTATTACATTCCTTTGAGCCTCCACTGTAGGCTGTATTTAGTGTTAATCAGCAAGTGTTGGCATGCAAAACACACTAAGATATGATGCTTGACATGGTAAGCCTCAAACCTGCCTTGGCTTCATTATATCAATGTCACTGTAATATCTTAGCACAGGGGTGTCAAACTCAAATACACAGTGGGCCAAAATTCAAAACTGGAACAAAGTCGCGGGCTAACATTAATATTTACTGGAAAAAAAAAATTCCTCCAGATATAAGAATGAATCTTTTCTTATGGACTCAAATAAGTTCTGCTGGAAAACTGAATATGGAACAAGCAAAGCTCAATACTAAACAATATATATATTAGCTGTATAATACCAGTAGGCCAGCTCTGATAGTAATTTGGTATGGCTTCGCGGGCCAAATGTAATTAGGCTGCCAAATTTGGCCCGCGGGCCAGAGTTTGACACCTATGTCTTAGCATAAGCATTTGGCGCTAACCACTTGTGGACCAGAGTTCCACTACACAGAGCCACTAGCACAGCTTTTAATCTTTTTGTCACTTATCAGAAGCCATATAGAAAACCTCGACATTAGCCACGGGAATCCCGCTCTGGTTGTTTAGCTCAGGGTGGCATCATGTGCAAATGTTAGCGTGTAAATACACTGAAGTATAATTGCAGATATGCTAATCATTAAACCTGCTTGACATTATTTTATCATCCATGTAAATAGTTTATCTTTAAGCTCAGTTTGGGCTAAATGCTAACTACAGCCAGGAGGTGCATCACCCTAAGTCTTTTTGTCATTAACTAAAGCTTATGGGAAACATTTAGCCACAGTAAACTGGCCGTTTAGCATTTAGCCCACATAAGGAAGTGACATCGTACTAGCATGTAGACATGCTAACTTAGATGGTTGAAATGGCAAGCATCTTAACTACTAAACAACCTGTTGTTAACATGTGCCACTGTTGAGGTTTTAGCATTTAGCCCAAAGCTTTACTGTGCCTACGTACAGATAGTACCTGCCTTGTCCTAATTGTGCAGTTAGTTGACTGCCTTACAAAAAAGTCTGAACTAGTTAGCCGCTGTCACTTGTTTAGGGATGTGTTGCCTTTATTGGTGTGAAGTTGTGAATCACACATTTTTACCAAAGTGCACTCTTTCTATTCAGCAACATGTCTTCAGCCATGGTGCATGATGCAAAGCTGTTGCACAGGCTTTACTCTAAATGATCCTGTGCTCCCTTTATGGAGTTTGGTGGTTGCCGGTGACACCTCACCATCCAGTTTCCTTCACATACCACTGTGTTTGAACATGTGCCTGCGTAATGACATAGGGGAGAGAGAAAATGCAGGCTGAGGGAAAAATTTAAAAGCAGATGTTGAGGTTAGTGAGCATTGATCTGGCCTTAGAATGGTTGGAAAACCCCACAGGCAAAGCTTGCATGAAACACTGTAGTTTCTAAGTCCCTGGAAAGAGTTGGTGCAGTTATGACTGCTGGTACAGAGAAATAGAGAGGAGACCAGAATCTTAACTGAATCAATTGACTTATTTTTTTTCGTTTTGTTTTTTTTAATTTGGTTGCTTTGCTCTACAGTGTTTGATAGATGAGAGGTTAATGTTGCACTTCTGTGTTTAATAATCACTCTTGTTCTGGGCACGCCTCCAGCGTGAGACCTGGTTGCCACAAGTGCTTTCAAATCCAGCTAGCTGTTTGCCATCACCAACTAAATGTATTGTATGTGCATGCATAGATATATGTATATGCTGAGTGGCCAGTACTAACCAAAGCATGTACAGTTGATTTAAGTTGCGCACTCACAGTTTACTGTTCCTCTGGAGGCTTTTTTTTTTTTCTATCATATATGTGCGGCTGGGAGGGGCTGCAACATGTTTCCTGTGTTTTTTATCAAAAATGTTTTGTAACACTTTTCTTGTGATTGGACATTTTTACATATGCAAGCAACGATGTATTTCTCAAATAAACAAATGCAACGATAAGCCTTTATTAAAAGCACAATCGTCTCTTGTTTTTCTGCCCACGTGATGCTGCAGGAAAATCTGGGGAAGGTGCTCTGTCGGCCTAAATGTGGACCATCTGGTTGCACTTGGAGAAAATGAGCTTTGGTTTAGTAGGGGAAATCTAGTCCCTCCTGCTCCGCCTCAAAACGAGCTCCATTCAAATTGTGCTTTTAGCCAATTTTATTTTTTTAAACTGTTGAATGGCATCCTCACTTCAGTCTGAACTTTCTGTACTATTTGCCTATTAACAGAAAGTTATTTATATCCATGCCGTTGTTCAGAAGCATGAGTGAAAGACGACAGCAGTGCTACTGGGTTAGATACAAAATCTGAGTGCTCCATCTCCTGGGAGCATGTGAGATGTTCATGTATAGTATTTCAGAACATGTCTGCACATGTCCACCCATCCCTCAAGAACACTGAGGCATGGCTTTGGAGTTTGTTTTCATACATGATCACCTAATATTTTACCTGCTATTGCTGTGCAAATATTTAAACCAGTTGTAGCGTGTCGGTGTACACAGGGTCAATCTTAGCAGGCAGTAGGACAAAGGTAAGAGCCTCTCTTAGAGAACTAAAGAGCCACAGAGCTGAGATCCTGTGAGGCCACCAGAGATCAGTTTTATTTAACAAAGTTTCTACTACAATATGTACAAATGTATTAAAACAGAAAACCTGTGTGCAAAAGACGTGCTATATAACACCACATCATGTCATCTTTCTTCTAAGCTGTTTCAAGAATATTAGTCAGTTTTGTCTTCGCCCACCTTCAGTATATGTAAACATTATTACTTTTTTTTTAATGCCTTTTTATATAGAGCATATATTGTTTTGATTTTCCTTGATGACCATTTATATTTTACATGTATAAAATAGATTCCTATGGCTTATATTTTATCATTAGCTTCAAAAAACAGATGTAGGCAAGTGGGATTTTTTTTCTTTATTTGATGGTCTGACCTTTAGTTGCTGTTCAGCTCGCACTGGGTTCCAGTCATTTCATTGAAGTGCTTTATGAACCTCGTCCGTGGTCACGCCATGTACCGCCTCCATAACCTGAACAGAGAAATGAGAACAGCAGACAGTGAGCAGGAATACTGGAATTACTACCAAGCAGACAAGCTGTCGTTTACATCAGTGTAAATATGGCCGCAATTTGTTCTTCTGTCTTTTATAGTGTTCAGTACATGTACAGGACAGAAGATGGATTTAGGCAGGGTGACATCATCTGTTGGTTTACGCTGTCACCATCTTGGTTGCTAAAAAGCTGATGTTGTGAGAAAGGCAGGTTGCAAAACCATTGCTCAATGGCAATGTGGGTAACCTGTGATTGGAAAAAATTAGCCAATGAACGTGTGGCTTTATACCACAGATAATTCTCTGTTTTGAAATAGAATTTGACCAAGGCACCATTTTTATTCAATATGACTCTCAAATGACTTACTATGACTTACTGAGCCTATAAACTCAGGAGCAAAGTGTTTGCTCACAGGAAGCTGTGTCCCCATACCCTTCTATATGACTGGAACTCGTTTTGCAACCACAGCTACCATCTGTTGGCCTTCAGATAGAATGTAGATTTGAGACACTTCCACATTGCCTTCATTTTTTCCAAAGCGGAAGCTATGCCCATGTTTTATACTGTGTATGGTTCAGTAATAGCCAGAAAAGGGTTTCTGCACAACACATGATGTTACAGTGATGTTGACCTTTGATTTTTTTGGTCATAAAATGTTTTCTTTTTATAACATAAGACATTTTTCAAGTGAGCACTTGTTTCCCTACAGGTGTTTCACAAAAACTGCATGAACAGGAGGTCTGACCTTCACTTTGGATCTAAATAATTTCAGTTTTATCACCATAAAGGCATAAAATCATGTTGATCAGTAGGAATCTCATCACTTGCCTGTGCAATGAGACCCCCTCTTGTGTTCCCGTTCTCTTATTCGCTCCTGATCTCTCTCCTGCTGTCAGAGTACTCATCCAGCTGGATGGCACCTGCTCCACTCCACAGTATTGAGGCACCACGCTCTACCCCCGACAACCTGCTGAGGCTGGGGTTGTGTCTGGTTTAGATTAGAGATGGACCGATCCTAAATTACTGGATTGGATATCGGAGAAAAATAAAAAAAATGTAATCCGATCCATTAAATATCAAAAAAGCACCTCACAAAACTTGCGACACGGCTTAACTCTGCTCATAACCGTAGCACGTAGGAGCAGTGTGCTCAGGTGATAGAGCAGCTGTGTGTATTTGTAGCCTCGCTACCAAACCTGCATTTCATCTCTGAGGAAGTTATCCCAGAGAGAAGTAAAGCAAGTGTGTAAGTTCATCTCTGAATGTTTGTAAAGCATTCCCATGTTAAGCTTAACAACCGATATATGGAGCGACTGCCTCTTCTCTCTCCCTCCCTCTCCTGCTGCTACTTCAATCATGAAACTGCTTAATGATCAGTTTCATTTCTGTCCGTCTCTCTTCTTTGTTTTTGGCTCACTTTGCACCAGAAAGAGGAAACCAGCGGCTGAACAACAGCAGCACGTTTAAGCTTGATAAGCTGTTGTTAGAATTTATTTAATATTACTTTCTACACCAGGATCTTTTTCTACGTAGCTGACAGCTGGTAACTGTGCAGGGGCGGATCTAGCAAAATGTCTGCCATCTATAATCCAGTTTTGAGATCCCTTCCCAGACGCCTTAACGCCCACTCACATCCTGGGCCATCTGATCTCAGGAATTCGCATGATAAGGTGGGGCCAGGTTTCACAATGAACTCACCCGAAACTGTGTTTCTTTTTAGATACCATTTGTTACTTTTCAAATATTTATTAAGTTATGCAGGCTTCTTTGCACAACAAGGCTAAATAATTATATAAACTTTTCTCAATCTAAATATTGTACTTTGGTAGAATTAAAAAAATAAGTGTAGTGCAGGTCTATGATGATTTTTAGTGCTACTATCATCTAGTTCTGATTCTTGTTCTGTCTTGGTTAAGTCCTCAGTAGTCCTGATTTTGAACTGTTGTAGTCCTGTTTTAATTCCGGATCAGTTCTGGGTCTGGTTGAATTGGGGTTTAGTCCTCGTGTCTTGATACAGGCCCGACTTTGTTCTGCCTTGCTGCTTAATTAAAAAAGTAGTTTAAGGTGTCCTGCATATGTATATAGAATAGCATCTGGCTGCAGTTTAAAGACTTTTTTTGTCTCGGTCTCGTCTCAACTTGCTCTTGTCTTGGTCTTGTCTTGGTCTCGGATTAGGCGGTCTTGACTACAAGTCTACTCTGGTGACGCCAGTCTCCTCTTCCCGCCCAGTGCACTAAAACACTCATGTTCACAGCTCAATGATCCACCAAAACCTTAACTTTAAAATCCTGGAAAGGGGGAGGAGACTAGAGAGAAGTGAGAGGATGAGAGGCGTACAGCACAGGTTGGAGAAAGTGGGCAGGAACCCTCTGCTTTCCCCCCACTTAAGTTTCGTTTCTTGTCGTTGGCACTTCAAGGCACTTCAAGGGAAACAGCCAGAGAGGTGAGATATTTTTGTGTGAGTGTGTGTGCTGTTCATTACCTTATTTTTCTTATTCTAAGGAGCTTGGAAAGAAAGCATCTGGACTTCTTTAAGTTTCTTGAAGACATTTCTTCTATCACCTGAGAAGCTTCTTGGGCTCTAAGAGCAAATGGTGGAGAGTCCCAGATTTGCTCTTAGAACTGAAGAAGCTTCTCAGATGGTTGGAGAAACGTCTTCAAGAAACTTAAAGATGTCCAGACGTGTTTCTGTCCAAGCTCCTTTGACTACGATGACCTGGATGACTGAGAACCTTCACAGACATATTTTTTTCTTATTCTTTCTTTTACTACGACATAAAGAGTGTTCACGAGGCAGGAGATGCTCGTGGGCTTTAAGAAGCTGTAGGTGTTTTTCTTTTTAATGAGCTCTAATGGGAACCTGAGTGTACTTTAATGGCATATAAATGGGGAAAAAAAGGGCTCCATTAGCTGCAAGTCCTGCGCTGACACGGGGCACGCCCAATCCTTTGATTTTCATAATGTAGGTCTCCATCAGGGACAAAAGGGCCACAAGTTGGAACCCAACTTTGTCAGGATTGTTTTGCACCTCTGGGTTGTCTCTGAATATTATCCGTGAAGCTTTGTGTCAGGATCCCAGACAGGGCACATTTACACACAACTTCGAGTCGCTCGCCTTGAGGGCATAACCGATTAAGGTTAAACATTCATGTTTGTGCAACTGTCGCTCTCTGTGTACCCTCCTCCTGCTGGTTTCTATCTCACCCACCCCTCCCCCTTTTTTCTCTTCTTCTTCCCTTTATCCTTTCAGTTTTCCATAGAATTTCCATAGGATTGCGTCGGGAAGTGTGACCTTATTTTTCTTCCTCCACCCAGAAAAGCTCTGCACCATGTCTGCTCCTGGTAAGTGACTGTATTTCACATTTGTGCTGACTGTTTTCCTTTCTTCATTGGGAGAAAATATGAAGATGTAAGAGTGTTTTAAAAATGTGAGAAAAAAATCCGGTCCACCCCCCCAAAAGAAAAACTACTCACTTATTATCACTGTCACGGTCAGCAATGGCAGACCGTGGAGTTGAGGAAAGTGGGACCCAAACGCTGGACTCTTATAGTGAAGGACAGTGGATTTATTTATAGTGAGTGGAAGAACAACAACTATGTACAGATCCAGCACTGTGGCTCCAGTGGCGATTCCTCTGTGAATCCCACACAGTGCACGTGTCCATAAACAGTGAAAAAGGTGACAACTACAAAACCCGATTCTGCTCCGTGATTTCCCCTCGAGATGACGCTCTTCACTCCCGACTCCTGGTGACACAAAACCACACACAGCTCAGCAGGAAACCCACAGTAGCGATGTCGTTCACACAAACACCCATCAACAGAGGTACTTTACAGGGCTAACATAGTATAATCCCGCACTGACTGGAGCCCCGCCACCTTCCTAAGCAGGACATCAGCT